TGATGCATTTGTGGAGGATGTTGTTCATGCTCTAACTTCACCCTACAGGTATCGCAACTGCTCGGTCGACGTAATGTATTGTTAAGTCTCGGTTCCTTTAAGTCCTTCTCTGATTTCAATTTGGCAGCACGTTGTGGCCTTACAAATTAAGTTTCAATGCAACTGGATTGCAATATATCATTCGGTGCAGGCGCAAGAGGCGCCGGCGGTGGAGGCATTAATTGAACCTCAGTTGGCTCCGTATTCGGAACTTTGGCGCTACTTGGGACTGACGTGGGATTCATTTGTGGAGTTCGCATAATGGCATCGTCAATTGCCGCTTCCATGGCTACAACCGTGGCCAGAAGTTTAGAGTTACTAGTTCGTGCCGAAATGCGAGACGGCGAAGTTTTTTCAGGGATAGATTCGGCTGTATAGCTTTCATTTAAGTCGGATAACCGCTTTATGCGTTTTTTTTGTTTGTTGCGGCGTCACGGTAGGCAGCTGACCCAAGTTACTAGATTCGGAAACCGGCAATTTCTGTCCACTAAGCTTCGCTCGCAAGTCTGGCATGAATTTCTCTTTCAACTGATGTAGCTCATCGCAAAATTCATGACTAGCTTCAACTATTTTCAATAATTCTCCCATATTTCGTTCTTTGTCCTGCAAAACAGCTTGCCTCAGATTTACTTTTCATGAAATTTATTTGCGTGCCATAAGCTAAATTTCATACATTTCATTTTAAAATTGCCCTCAAACTGACCTCAACGTACTGACATCATAACTGAACCACCAGTGAATGAATATATATATTAAATTTAAACATGGTCAACAAATACACAGATAGTTAACATTGTAGCCACACACTTAACTCTTTTTTTGTGTTAAATACTTAAATATTGGAAACCTACTTTATCTCCCATCTGTCGTGTCCAACCAACGAAATTATCTTGATTGCGTGGGAAACCATCAATAAGGAATTTTTGTTGGCCAAAGTTCTGCATCGCTTTCTCGAGCAGCGAGCAGGTCACTTCAACGGGTACAATTTTACCATTGCGTATGTAGTCTTCAATTAGCGTACCATATTCAGCACCCTGACGTGCACGTTCCTCCCGTAACAAATCGCCCGCAGAGAGATGTACAAATTGGTAACGTTCTACAATTTTGGAGCATTGTGTTCCTTTACCAGCACCGGGACCACGATATGATCTACTCTGATGATCTACTTCGTAACCCAACTCGGCGGTGCAGCGTCGATCGAGAAAGGTAGGCGGATACAGACGCAAAACTTCATCGACAATCATGCGCAGATACGGCAGTGCATTGATGGTGTCATAGTCAACCGAGCCATTGCCTTTTGTTAGCGCTTCCAACAATTCGGCGCGCAAACGACCCTGTATATCCGGTTGCTTGGCCAACTCGTAAAGCGCAAAGGTGATTGTCGAAGAGGACGTGTCGAAGCCGGCCAGCAGCAAGAAGGCCGCTTGAGCCACGAAGAAGTCACGCTTCTGCACCACACTTTCATTCGAGCTGCCAGCTGCTTCTCGCTTCAGCGCTATAAATATATCAATCAGATCGTTGCGTTGCGCTCCGTTGCGCGTACGCTCTTCAATTACATGTCACATAGATCAATACAGGAACTGATTCCACATTCGGATGAGTCCCGTAAGCGTTTCTTTTTATACAAATAACCAGTAACTGAAAGTTTCGCAAGACGAAAAGTTGGTCCAGCGTTCCTTGGTTCTTGAATGGTGTGATCTCTAACAAACTACGTGAAAGTTGCTATTGCTATATCTACTGAGTCCTATCCTGGAAGGTTGTGGCAGGTCCTACCTTTCCTTGTCAGTTCAGCAGCTTTGCATTTGCCATCAATATTCCCGTGTACTCCGGCAACCATATGAGTAAAGTTCTATGTAAATATGTACAAATCGTTGACGTTTTTTCAAAACCGTCCATCGACCAGTTGCAAAACCACCTAATACGCCGTTTTGGAAAAATGCCATTTGGTAACCCTGAACTCCAGGCATCGAGATTTATGCATACAAATTTATAAATCGTTATTAAAACAACAGATTTGTAAAATAATAGCTAGAGAAAATATCGCCTATCAAGGCAATGCCTTCAAAGAAAACCCGTTTTTTCGCTCTCCTGCAAAATTTGAGTGCCATAAGATAGGCGGTTTCGCAATTGGTCGATTGCGGTTTTGTAAAAACATCGACGATATGTTTTCGCTCAACAAGCTACGGTAATCATTAGGGCACTTCACGTGAGTCGAAACCTTTCAGGACTGCCTTGAACCGTTGAATTTTTCCGTCGTTTGTTAACATATGTACAGGTACGTTGGCCATAACTGGACAAACGTTGATTTTAAAGTGCTCCAAATTTTAAGGTTTAAGTATTCGCATAAATACGGCCATCCGAGTAGCCTCATAAAAAAGTCCAACAAGGCCAAGTCGGATGATCTCAGTGGCCAAATGAAATCCCCTCTACGGGAAATTACTTATATGTCTGATAATCCTCTGTTGCAATGAACGGTATCCATGACACTGCGAATGATCATATACCTTCAGTTGTTTTGTGACCTGAGCTTTGTATGAATGGAGGTGTACATATATCCAAATGCAAAACATACTATTCTGAGCCATAAGACAGTACCACGCTCATAAAACGACACGCAATCGACAAATTTGTTTCTTCGGCCACACTTAGTTTTGAAATCCTACCCAAGCATTTCTGGTGTTGTAGCTTTCAGCGCCCACGCAGATATAAAAATTATAGCATAATGGAGCGCTGATTGCCTGGAAAGCTTCTTGTCTTCAGATATATGTACAAACATATGTATGTATACTTCAGCACATAAAATAAGTTTGGTAATTTTTTGTTGAATTTGGTAACTTTTTCTGGTGATTTTGGTAAAAAATAAAAAAGTCTTGTGGCAACACTGATCTCCGTCCATACTTCCAGAGAACTTAGATAGATAGAGAAGGTGCAAACTGAAAGTGGAAAC